AAAAAAAAAAAAAAAAAAAAAAAAAAAAAAAAAAAAAAAAAAAAAAAAAAAAAAAAAAAGGATCGGAAATTATTTTCGAAATTTACGTTCCGCCCTCCCACCTAATTACATCACACGCACTTTTTGCTATTTTATTAATAAATTTTATTAATTCAACAAAAGACAAAATTTTGGTATTTTGACTTTCCTACGTTAAATTTTGCGAAGTATTTTCATAAACATTTGTTTTAATGGTTGGGGAACATCTATCACTTAAGCCAAAAATAATTAAGAATTTCAAAAAAAAAAAAAAAAAGAATTTTGAAATTTGACTCGTGTGCCAAACTTCCAGTTATGTATCATCGTCGTAACGTACATTTAATTATATATGGAAATGAAACGTATACTTTAAATTAAGAGTGTTCATATGACTCGATAACTTAATCAATTCAGATGCCCAACCCCAACTATAAAAAGTTGAGTTTGGTTAGATTTTTTTATAACTGATGTTAGTGATGTACTATAACTTGTATTTTAGTTATTAATGTAACATATATTTTAAATAAATTCATTTTTTTTATATAATTAAAAAAAAAAAACCCCGGTTGTATTGAGTGGTGAACTCTATTCGAGTTTGCTTGGATCACCAGCTGAATCAACCCGAAATTTCAAACTGGTTCAAACAAAATTTTCAACCCGTGTACACCTGATCTAAGATCTATGGAATATTGTATCCAGTTGTGTTAATGAGGAACGCAATAAGGTATTTTTTGTTAGGTATGAATCGTTTTTGGGAATGCAATTCGTTTGAACATTCGAAAATGGATGAATGGTTGTTTAAAATGAGTAAAGAAAGGTGAGGTGGTAGGATAATATAAAGGAATTTAAAGGGAAAATAGGGTTTAATCAAAGAGGAAGGAATATATGTTGTGTGGTTTTCCTATGCTTGCACTCAAATATTGAATATTGGAAGAGGGTATCAACACTTTTATATAAATATGGATATATTTGAATCATATAAGGGATTGAAATTAATATTGTGCCACTAAGGTTGTCCACTTTTGATTCGAGATTTTATGTTCGTATGAAGATTATATACGTTTAGAGACGAAACGATTTTAGGATGTATCAAGAGTTTGAATAAGCGTGTAACAGTCCAAGCCCACCCCTAGCAGATATTACCCGTTATGGCTCGTTACGTATCATCATTCGTCTCACGATTTTAAAACGTGTCTATTAGGGAGAGGTTGACGCACTCTTATAAGTAATGATTCGTTGGGGAAGGGAACGAGACATTCCGTATAAGGGTGTGAAACCTCTTCTTAATAAACGTATTTTAAAATTGTGAAACTGACGTACCAAAGTGAATAATATAATGAAGAGTTAGAATTATATTTCATATCTTTAATTATTATTACATTTTAAAAAACAGTTTAAAATTTTCATTTTATTTTAGTTACATTAAATTCTCACCGTCTCTCTTATTAATTATTTATTAATTCTCCAACAAAAAAAAATTAAAAAATATTAAAAGTATTTAAAAGTAAATAAACTTAATTTTAAATTATTTAAATACAAAAATAACATAACCAAACAAATAAATTTAAAATTTAAATTTAAACATTTTTAAAAATTATCAACGAAGGTTTAGGTTTGAACTTAAATTAAATGAAGAGATTCTAAAATTAAGAAAAAAAAAGAGCATATTCTTATAATTTCAAGCCTATATTAAAGGTTAAATCTTAGCCATTCGTTCCATTTATAGATTAGATTAATTTTCTTTACTTTTTTAAGAATATGATACGTTTTGGATAAATTGAAAACACAATAATGTCAACTTAATTAATTAATTATATATATATATATATATATATATTAAAAAATACTCGAAGAGTAGCACCTATATTTCATTTTCCCCCTATAAACTCACTTATCTACATTAACCCAAATTTTATAAAAAGAAATTCAATATTTGTACCTAAGAAAAAAATAATAAATTTGGAGTTGACCGATAGAATATAAAAAAATTGTGTAATAAAGAAATAAAATATAGAGAAATTTAGAATAGGAAAATAAGTATTATGACTATTTATAGTATTAAATTTTAAATTAAATGCTTTTGACACGTGTTTGAATTTAATTGGTTGGTAACTTGATAGAATTAAGAAAAAAAGAAAAAGAAATTCAATGACGTGTTCGATATGAACACTAACAAAATATTTATTCGTCTATTTATTAATAATGATTGCATGGACAGTTTTTTATGTTATTTTATTTTATTTTAAAACAAAAAATATAATAATTAAAATAATAAGAACCAACTTAATTTAAAAATTAAATTTAGAAATTAATATTATCAAAATAGAATATAGAGAAGCATAATTCGTGGAAGCCAAAGCAAAGAGAGAGAAAGAGAGGGTTTTGCTTTTGCAGTTTGTTCGTGTCTGAGCTGGCAAAAATGTGGAGCCCACTTGGCCGTCGTTGAGAGCCGCGTGGGTGGGGCCCACCTCCCACGTCTTTTTTTTTTTTTTTTTTTTTTTT